CACACACACACACACACACACACACACACACCCGCCGTGAGGAGGGGCTCCCCACCTTGCTGCAGCTCCCCTCTGTGCTCAGACGACCTGACACATTCTCTCTGCTCTGCACACATGTTTCTGGCATGTTCTCAGCCTCACTGGACACTAAGTGGACATCGACCGCTGCATATTCTGCTGCTTCTATTATTTCAGAACTAATTTCAGGATTACAAAATAATTCTCCCAATTACTGTGCAAAGTTCCACCAGTGAGACACATGGGGCAGATGCTTCTCTAAGTCCGGCTGTGCAGCTCTGGAGCAGCTTCTGGGACACCTCAGTCTCCTGAGGACCTGTGAGTATTCCTCAACCCCTCCAAGGGTCCTGAGCGACTTCAGGGGATCCCAGCTCTGAGCCCAGTGCCTCAAGGGCGACATGCTCTAGATCCATTTCCCAGGGTAGCTGTAGCCCCTGTGAGCCAGGCTCCAGACACCAATCTCCAGAAATGGTGCTCAGTGGTGTGGCCTTGGCAGGGCTTGTGAACAGGGAAGGATTCTGTCACAGGGAGCCCTGTGGTTGGCCTAGAAACCTTGGAAGGGGGCCAGGTGTGTCCATGGTAAAGCAGTGGGCACCCAAGGGGGGGGGGCTGACACTCTCCATAGTGCTTCGCATGACTTTAATTAGCTTCCTGCACCAACCTCAGGGACTCAGAGACCCAGGCTGGACACTAGCCAGTGGCCCAATTGCTGCCCAGAACCTTACCTAAGGGAGCCAGCTGAGCCAAGAGTGGGTCGGTAGGGATAAAGAGAAGTTAGAGTGGGCCAGAGTGGAGTCCTGGGGCTTTGTCCCAACCCCCTCCCTTTGTAGGTCCCTCCCCATCACCGGCCGGTGATCTCATCCATTCCTGGGCTGTAAATATCACCCAAATGCTCACGACTCCCAAATGTGTCCTCCAGCCGGGCCCCTCTCCTGAGCTCAGCCTGCACAGCCCACGCGACACCCCCGCCCAGATGTCTCCTGGGCCTCAGCAAGCCGCTCCTCCTGGAACCCCCTCCTCGGGGACAGGCGCCCCTTGCCGGCTGCTTAGGGCAGACGCCTGGGAGCCCTGCCCACCGCCTCCAACCATCCTGTCAAGTCCAACTTAAAACACATCCCCTGCCTTCTGGATCACCCACCCCTCAGGTCTGGCCCCTTCCTGTGTGCAGGCACCACAATGTATACCACGGCCAGAAGAGCTGTCTCAGAAAATTAGACCCTGCCCACTCCCCCTTGAGACAGTCGAAAGGATGCATGTTCTCGCAGATGCACACACCCCTGTCTACTGCCTCACACCCTGTCCCCTGCCTCACCCTTAGCCTCCATACCACCGTCACTGACAGCCTGCCTAGACTTTGTCCCCACTCCACAACATGTCCCAGATTCCTTCCTCTGGGGGAGGGGAGTGTACAAAACCTCCAGAGACAGCAGGGTCTGTAGAGGCAGGACCCAAGTGATGCATCTTAGGCAGTTGGCCTGGTTACAATATAGCATGTGGCCCCGTACCCTTCTTTGCCATCACTGGGGGCTAGTTTCCAATGGGCCACAGAAACAAACAAACAAACAAAAAGGCTTCAGGCCAGATAGCGCCTGTCAGTGCAGAGTGAACTGAAATGATGGGACCCTCTGTCCTGTAAGCCACTGACTGTGCCAATATCTGCTGCAGGTGGCCAGCTCAGGCCCCTAAGGTTCTTTGCCAGCTTTTTGGCCCTGGCTTACAGTTCAGAAAGCATAGTCTTACCTCCCAGCTCTGCCCCTCCCCTGGACTCAGCAAGCTGGGTTGGTCTTCTCAAACAGTCAGGAGCTACTTTGGGCTGGAAGTAGTCGATGAAGACCCCTGCCCACCAGGAGCAGGCCAGCAACCTCCCAGGGTGCTAGGGAGTGCTGATGGTAGCTGACTTCTTCATAGGCTATACATGGAGCCGCCTCTGCCAGGGCTGTGACAGCAAACAAGGTGTTGGAGGGTGTCAGCTAAGTGGGAGGAGCCAGCAGACCCTAGGCAAGCAGTGATCTCATCTGCGAACCTGCTCCGGTTGCAGCATCCCCAGCCTTGGGACAAGCAGTGATGCCCAAGGTCAGGCCAGAGTGCACTGAGCAGAAGGAAAAACTGCAGGGGTAAATGTGGGCAGCCTTGTGGGTATGTGTGGTAGCACCAGCAGACCCAGGCTGAGGGGGTTCCTGGAAGAGGCTCCCTGCTGAGGAAGGGCAAAGCCAGACAGGGTCTCAGCACCCCACCTTTGCTCCCAGTCCCTCCTCAGATGGTGACTGCTGAGCACATTTCCCCCAGCTCAGCCTCCTCCCCGAGTTTCTGGAAGCTTGGCCGCCCCCATGGCCATCTGGTTCCCCCAGTTTCCTCCCCCAGTCCCTGCATTTTTTCCCTCCCTTTCTCCCAGCTCTTGCTCTGTGGGGGAGGAAGACCCCCTTCCTGTTCTCCCTACCACTACTTCGACACACAGTTTTCTGGCCAGTGCCTCTTTCCCTTTTGTCTCTGAGGCCTTTCCGGTCCAGGTCTCAGGGAATCACACATGCATCTCCTTGTCTGTGCTGTTTCTAAGCACATGCAGACACACGTGTGTCTGCGTGGCTCTGCTCTGCCATGTGTGTCTGTTATGTGCTCACGTGTATTCACAGGCACATGGATCCTCAAGGGCTGTGGGGTGATGTGAGGCCCCCAGGCGTGAGGACTGGGACCTGGGGCAGCGACATGAAGGTGCACAGAGCCCTCGCATGATCTCGAGCTCTCCTTTGGGGCCACTCCATTCCTGGTCATTCTCCAGCAATGGGAGCATGGTCTTTTCATGCCATTCCCAGCCTCCTCCTGGGCTGGACAATCCCAGAGGAGATGTCCCCACAAAGATAGCTTGTTCAGAACCAGGGAGCAGGGAGCAGGAGTCAGCCCAGCCTCAGAGAAGTTAGCTGAGCCCAAGGATGTCAGCTTTGGGACAAACTCACTGGAGCAGCTGGAGGACGGCAAGAATGTCACTTCACTCCTGCAAGTGAGCCTCCCCGCCCCACTTCAGCCCAAACTGCCCCAGCAGTGAGGGTGGGCAGTTCTATCTCCTCTCAGGCCTTCTGTGCCAGTGTCTGAAGGAGATGCTATGCTGGGACCCACCCTCGTTTCTCACCGCCCACAGTACCGCAGCCCAAGAGGCCACAGCTTAAGAAAAAGCTCTTTATTCCACGTCATCCAATATTTTACACAAGTAAAATAAAATTCATATCTCTATATACCGCGATCCGGGTGGGAGGCGGCGTTCTGGAACAAACGCCACCCCCGGAACCCTGTAAACATGATGGGGTGGAGATGGGGGTGGGCTGGTGGGGAGGCATCTGTCAGGGAGGGCCTGGCCTGCCCCACGGAACCTGTCCCTGGCTCTGGCTGGCGGCATGGAGGGAGACCCCATATGTACACACACCTGATGGCCGGTGGCTGGTCAGCAGGGTCCGAGCACTGTCCAAAGTACCAGTGCAAGGCCCAGAGGAGCAAGGCTGCAGGCCAGAGCAGGCAGGGCGCCTGAACCCTCTGCTTCCCCAGCTCCACTGCTTCCACTTCCGGCCTGGCCCAGACGGCAGTGGCTGCGGGTGCGATTCTTTCGGGAACAACCTGGCCTCCTGCGAGGACCAGTGGTGGGCAGTCCCGGTGGCTCAGAACCCCCAGGCCGCAGAGCCGTCAGTGGGGGCTCTGCAGAGCTGGGCAAAGTCCCAAACGGAGAGTCATTGATGTGCCGTGGGCCTGAGCCATTGCCTGGTGGAGTGTCACCAGGAGGTACACGTCCCTTGAGGGCATTACCAGCAGAAGCTGGCCGCCCGGGCTCCAGCACTGAGGCTTTGTCTGCACCATCTGGCTGGCAGCACTTGGGGAGGCTCAGCAGCTCCTCATCAGTGAGTTGGGTGGTCTGGAAGGGACGGAAGGGCCCTGAAGCCACAACACAGCCCTCTAGGTCACTGGCAGCCAGGCGCTTAAGATCACGACCAGCCAGGCGTGGGGGCAGGCTGCAGGGCACCTCTGATGAGGAACCTCGGAACTTCTGCAGCCAGGCCCAGAGTGGACGTGCTCGGCAGTCACACACCCAGGGGTTGTCATTGAGTCGCAGGTACTGCAGAGACCTCAGGGGCACTAGGACCTCTGCAGGTAGCATGGAGAGGTTGTTGGCAAACAGGTAGAGGGTCATGAGGCGGCCAAGGTCCTGGAAGGCGTGTGGATGCACACGAGTCACATGATTCTGGTGTAAGAGGAGGCGGTCAAGACTGTGTAGACCACGGAAAGCGTGCTCCGGCACGCTGGGGATACGGTTGCCGTGCAGAAAGAGGTGTGTGAGGTTGCCCAGGTCACGGAAGGCATTGTCAGGCAGCGCCTGCAGACTGTTGTCTTGTAGGTAGAGATACTGCAGAGCCGTCAGTCCACGGAACAGGCCGGAACCCAACTCCTGTAGGCCGCATCGGTCTAGGTGCAGCGTGTGCAGGTGGCCCAGGCCGTGGAAGGTGGTGGGGTCCACGGCACGGAGCTGTGCATTGTCACTGAGGTCTAGTTGCTCCAGGAGGGTCAGGCCAGTGAAGGCAGTGGCATCAATGCGGGCCAGTGCGTTAGAGTGCAGCCACAGGATAGTGAGATTTCGGCATGAGTGGAAGCTGGCAGCCGGCACGTAAGAGATGCGGTTGCCGTGCAGGAAGATTCTCTGGCTAGAGGCTGGGATGCCTGTGGGCACAGCCTGCAGGCCCTGTTGGGGGCAACTTGTTGTCACCTTGGGCTCATTGTAGCACACACAAGCACCAGGACATGGTGCTGCTACCCGCCAGGCCTGTAGCCATAACATCCATGCCAGCAGTCGGCTTCCTGTAGGCAGAGAAAAAGGTGATCAGAGAGACGCTGAAACCAGTCCTTCTTGGGTAGACCTCAGGGAACTGGGCAGGGCCAAAAGGCTGCCAACCCTGGGAATGGGGCTATAGGACCTCTCACCCTTCCATGGCATACAGATAATATTGGGCTGTAAGCTGTCCTTGGAAGTACATATTCCACACTGGTGGCCATGTCTGCACCCCTAACCCTCATGCCACCCTCACTCACACACCTGCAGGCATGACTGGTGCACTGTAGCTCACCCTCAGAGTATTAGCCCAGCTGGTCATTAAGTCACATGTCTGAAGACCTTCTGGGGTAGCTGCATACACCACCTCTGAACTCCAGAGCACACAGCTGCTGGGACCTGGCCGTTGTTTATCTTCATTTGTCTTAGCTTTATCCTTGATCTGCTCAAATCAGTCCCACCAGGCTACAGGCTAAGGTAGCAGGGGAATCTGAGAAACCCTGTAGGAGTCTGAGATTCATCCCTAGACCTGCCAGGTCCCTTGGCCCAGGCTGCCGAGTAGGGGCTGAGGCTCACAATCCATATCCTGCCCAGGCCCCTACAGCTTTTGATAACCTCTGGCAGCTGGAATTATAGGGAACCCCCTCATGCCAAAATGGGAGCTATGCCTGAGTCCCTGAAGGGCTTTGTCTGTAGGGGGTCTCCTGAGGCCTGGGGTAGGTCTCCTCACTAGCACCCCTGCTGTCTGAGGAAGAGGAGCCTGGGTGTGGGGCAGGTGGGGGAGAGAGGGCCTCTCCCAGGCCCCCAGGGCAGGCTGCTCCCTCCTCCACACCGCCTCCCTTTTAAGCACTTCCTGACTTGGCTCTGAACACCTTCTGCAGCCTCCTCCAAGCGGCCTCATTCTCCGCTCCATCCCTTCCCAGCCTTCCTGCCCATCCATGTTGGTTGCCATCCTACTTCTCTCAGTGGCCCCAAGGCACCAGGCCCCATCCTAGGTCCCTGGGCCAGATATACCTGGGTGTGACCAAGGACCTATATACTTGGCAGCAGCCGCTAGGGCTGGGGCACCACATTCCTAGGGAAAAGCTCCTTGGTCTGCCACTGGAGCCCCATCCCTTTTGAATGCCGAAGTCTCTTTCAGGAGTGAGTCTATTAAAATGTGAATCCCCCTGGGAGGGTTATGGCTTATCAGCTAACACCGTCATTGACAGCTAACACCTGTGTTGACAGCTAACACCTTTCTTGGCAGCTAGCTAACAGCAGGATTCTGCAGCCAGGAGGCCGAGGCTGGCAAACTGCTCGGAGTTGGGAAAAGACCAGGATCCAGCCTTCCCTACCCAGCCTTGACCTCTGGGGACTTCTACTTCACACTGGGCCCTACCTCAGAGGGTCCTCTCCTGCATGGTGCAGTCTGTTGCTCAATTCTAGACCCCTCAGGCCAGGCATGCCTAACAGCTGGGCAAGCGTCCAGGCTCTGGGGCCCTCTTCTCAGACTCAGTGCCTTCATTCAGTGAGCGGATTTGCTGGACCTGGGGTCATTTGTTGACAGCTATGGTGGCAAGCCAGGCCCGGGAGCCCCCAATCCTGGATGCCCGTCCCTGCCCCGCCCCAGGCTGGATGTATGTGGGCTGTACTTGGGCCTGAGGCTTTATCTAAGCAGCTTCTCACATTCTCTTCTTACATGCCCTCCCTGAGACAGTGGGGTGCAGCCGCATCAGCAGCCCTGATGCCTTAACTGCTGTCACAAAGGCTGGGTAAGTGGGGGGCCTTCATGCACCCAGGGCCAGGCTGAAGATTTTACTGTCATGGATGACTGGGGGGCACATTATCAGCCCTGCCATACCACAGACCACATATTACCCATAACGCCATGCTGCCAACTGGACCTCACATACATTGAAGGAACCACCAATCTCTGTGCCTTCCACCACACCAGCAGTAGACTGTAGCTCCCAGGACTGAGGTTGCCCATTGACAGTTCAGCTGGGGTCATTGGGGGTCCAGGGCTGAGCCACAGTAGGGAGGTGGGCAACTGGAGGAGCGGCTATGTGCTCAGTCTTGTCAGGCAGAAGGTAAAACACACAGCTGTGTTCCTGTTGGAAATCAACTTCTGAGAGGCGGCCCTTCTCACCTACCCTGTCAGCACAGGGGCTGGGGTAGGCTCTTCTGCTGTAGCCACAGTAATTGGCTCCAGCCTGGCCCCCCTTGGGGCCTGCCCGCTGGTCTCCATGGCAACCCCTGCGCTGAGCAAGCATGAGGGGGCATCTTTTTATGAGATAATCAAGCCCAACTTTGCAGCATGGCTTGTGCTCACAGCAGGGGTTTGGGGAAACACCGGACACCTGACCAGGCGGCAAGGATGTTCCCTGACCCCACCCCAGGGCTGCCATATTCAGTGTCTCTCCGTCTGCCACCTTACACGGCCTGCGTTGGCTCATTCTTGTGGCTTCCGCAGTGCTTTGAGCTGCAAGATCTCTGAACTTCAGGTCTGGACCCCTCCGTACTCACTTTGTTCTCACTCCAAACCTGCCCACAGATTCCCATCTGAGACGGCCTTCTTTTTGGGGAGCAGCCTGGCCCTCTTGCCTCCCTGTAGCCTCCACCTACCACCCAGCCAGTCTCTTCCATGTTCCCATCCTCAGAAGGCGCCCAGCATGCACACATGGGCAGAAAGTGGTCCTGGGGGCGGGTCCATCCATCTCACATGGAATCCACATCAAGACCCCTTAGGACCCTGCAGCCACTTGAGTCAGCCTTACAAGCTATGCACGAAGTGGTATGTCTCCAGCTATACCCAAGTCAATTTTCATCAGACTTTTGTGTGGGTCTCCTCCAGGGCTTTTCCAAGGGGAACACACTGGTTGTTGGAACTGGGTCACGGCTAGTGGCTTCTGGCTTAGCTCAGGCCATCTGGGAGGCCACAGGGATATGAGGAAAGGGGCACATGGCTCGGAGATTCCTCAGGGACGGCAATGACTGAACACAGACCCTGGGGTCCTCCTCCACCTGGGGTAGCCTGATCAGGCAGGATACAACCACTGGGCTACACTGGGCACTTGGCATCTGCGCCAACAGCTCTTTGGAGTCAAGAGCGCAGAATCACATTCACTGAGGAGGGAATAGGGGAGAGAGATGGAAGGAAAGAGGAGCAGGGAGAAAGAGGAGGCAGAAAGAGGCAGGGGCAGAGGGAAAGAAGCCAGGGAGCCAGAGGGTGTGAAGAGGGAAAAAAGGAAAGGGAGGGGCCAGGTGGGTGGAGGCTTCTGGGGCCTTGCCCAGCAGCCACTTGAGCCAGCAGGCAGGCACTGCTGAGGTCAGCAGCTCACCTCAGCAGCCCAGTGAGCTGCTGAGCCGAGATTGCCTTCTTTAGCATCTTCCCAGCCTGCCGCGTTGTTCTTGCATTCTCTCCACCACCACCCTAGCCTAGCCTGACATCCCGTGGGCATGTCCTCTTGTCCTCACCTGATGAGGCCGAGCAACGGTGCAGGCTGACAGCCTCGCAAACCCAGGGCACTGACTTTCGTCCTTCTACCAGCTGGGTGCCCTTGAGTCCCGGTGTTTCTCTCAAAGACTAACCCCACAGACTTTGGAGAAAGTCTCCCCGCCGGTACCAGTCAGTGCCACGGAGAATCACATTCTCTTTCCATCACCAGCATCTATTTACAGATGAGGAAACTGAGGCAGTGAGTAGCAAAGCCCCGCTCCTACACTGCAGCAATTTACAAGTAAGGGGAGGTAAGCATGGGAGTGCATGCTGCCTGGAGAGTTGTCAAGGAAAGTCAACTCACGAGGGACAACTGCTATGTGGCCAGGGCAGCTAGTGGGGGCTGGATAGGCCCTGGGGCACAGGAATCTCCCATGTTATCAGCGGCGGACAAGACATCGCCATGGTTCTACTGAGCTGGGGTCAGAAGGCTGTAGAAGGGGCTGCTGAGGCAGTCCAGAAGAGACCACAGTTGCAAGGCAGAACAGCTCAGCACACAGGACCAGAAATAGCTCTGGGGGAGGGGGGAGGGACCGATGTCATCCCCACACTGCAGAGAATCAAGGCACTTTTCCCTGGGCCCCCTCCCGACTCCTGCCAACCCTGTCACTACTGACCCCTACCCCATCCGTACCCCATCTTCACTTCTCACAGACACACTGCCCACCTTCCGCCCATCCTTGGGCCCACAGGCACATGAAGGGACAGCTTACATCCACACTGTCCCTCCTGGGTCCTCCAGGAAGGGATAGGGGCAGGAGGATGGCAGCGAATTCCACAGAGGACAGACCATCCTGACTCTCTGAGGTGTGGCCACCAGCATCTGCGGCCCTGTCCTGGTCCCTTGAGGCCTTGTTCCTTATTGATTTTGACTATAGAGCAAACAGGCAGGCCAGGTCGATAATGGGTAAGGTCACTTACCACGGTCGGCAGAGACAAGACCGAAGCTGATATGCCTCAAGCCCAGCCATAAGCCGTGGGGAAACTGAGGCCTTGCGTGTGTCCTGGCTGCTTGGCATCATATTGCAACTAGAGCAGAGCTGTTAGAAACGGCCTTTGATTATGTCAGGTCATCCTCTTGTCCTCCGAGAACTCAGCGAAATCCGCCTGCCTCTGTCTTCCGAGAGCTGCAGCTAAAGGCGCTCACCACCATGCCCGGTTCTTTTATTTTTATCGGGACACAGGGACATGAAGGCCCATGCCGTCTTTTAACCTGTGATACTTTTATCTCAGTCTCCCAGGTAGCTGGGATTACAGGTGTGTGCTGCCAGTCTCTCCTAGGAATTCAGTTTTGGTCACAGTCCCATTACCTAAAGGGCTTCAGAGTCTCCCCAGGCCCAGCAATATATTCTACTCATATACCAGACCCCACCCTGTGAACTCTGCTCTGTAGGCCTATGGTGCCCAGCACCTCAAGAGTTTGTCTGGCTGAAGCCTATCCAACCTGGAGACTCGGTGTCCCTTCCCTGACAAGAGGCTCGTGTTTCCCATCAGGTGGGAGCCTAATTACCTGACTCCCACCCCCAGGCCTTTGTGGTCCTGCTGCTAATTTAATCCATCTTTCGATCCCCAGGGACACTAATGAGGAACCAACCAATGACTACATATCCCTACCATAGGTATCCTATGAAGGAGACCTCCTTAGGCCATAGTCTAAGCCCCAGAACTGCCACACAAATGCCACCACCCGCTCCTGCCCATGCTGGTGCTGCCCTGGATGGAGTGCTCAGCCTGGTGAGTCTATAGTTCTGCCTTCTGCCTTCTGTGCCTCATGTCTATTTCTGGGACAAGCATCCCAAACTGAGCCCTGGGTCTCCCACCCTATCTCTGAATCTGTTGCTGACCTGTGAGGCCCAGAATGTCAGCACATGGGGTAAACATGAGACTAGGGTTGCATGTGGTGGTTATTTATACTTGGCCTCAGCTGGGAGATAAGAACATATGCTAGGGGACAAGCGGTAGGGGTGGGCAGGGCAGACACAGAAATGTGCTGTGAGTACACGTGGCATGCAAAACAGGATGGATGGGTTATAGAAGCCAGTATCCCTTGGGTTTGGGGCAAAACCAGGTTGGTACAAGGGGGCTGCGCAGACCTCAGCACCTAGACGGGGGTCTGCTACCCTGCCATGGAGGAGGTAGGTGACACCTCCCACATGTTCTTGCACTTGTAAAACATAATCAACCAAGCAGGGAGGTAGCCCTTGCCCAGGCTGAACTTATTTTGAGATGCACACACACACACACACACACACACACACACACACACACACACACGCAGGTCTGGGACCCACCTACTGTGCCTCTTGGCCACTCATCAGGAGGGAAGCAGGCAGACAGGATCCACTGAAGAAGGTCAATGAATGGAGCCTCAGTGCACCCTCTTAAGCTGGGCTGCCCCAGCCTCCAGAGACCTCTGTCACAGAGTCAGTAGCAAGAGAGGCAGGCAGTGCCAGCGGGAACAAGGGATCCAAGAGGGAGCATATAACCCTCTTCAGCTAGATGTTCTCACTGGAATTACCCTCCAAAGCCAGGGCACTGAGTCCATGGAGTTAGAAGAAAGACTGAGGGGTCCCAGGCAACTCGGCCCAAGAGCTGGCTGCTACATTAGCTCGTTTTTGGCATTCAGTCACATCTATGTGTTCATCCATGATCCATGGCTGCTTTCTGTCCTGGGATGCCGGCACAGTGCATGAGTGGTCCACAATGCCGGGCCCTCTTACAGGACGTGCTTTGTGACTGAACGCCTGCTGTGTGGAGAGTTGCTATCGTCACACTCATGAGGACCCAGCAAAGGCCACTCAACATCCTGACTAAGGAAATGGAACCTGAGAGTCAGAGGACCATTCAATGGTTCTGCCAAGCACACATGCCTGGGTGTGCTGAGTGCAGTGTTCTCTCACCTTATTGCAGGATAGCATAGAGGAACACGGGTCAAGATCAGCATTTGAGGGGACTGAAGGCAGAGTGTGAAAGGGAAGCAGTGAATACTGAAATCCTGCTCAGGACATGGAAATCAAGTATCTTGCTGAGGACACTGTCAGCAGGCGAGAAATCAAGCATATATAATAGAATACAACTTGGAAATCAAATAGGGAAGCAGAGGCGGGGGGGGGGGGCGGGGGGGGGATCAGGAGTTCAAGGTCAATCTGGGCTACAAAGCAAGACCCTGTCTCAAAAATTCCCAAACAAGAGGGATGTAGTAGGGAACAACTTAATCTTGCAATTGGTTGTTGGAGTTAGGAAAATCAGGAGTTCAAGGCCAGCTTCAGCTACATAGTGAGTTCAAGGCTATCCTGTCCGTCCGTCCGTCCTTCCTTCCTTCCTTCCTTCCTTCCTTCCTTCCTTCCTCCCTCCCTCCCTTCCTTCCTTCCTTCTTTTCTTCTCCCCCCCCCCCCCACCGAGAGCGTTTCCTGTGTAGCTATGGAGCCTTTCCTAGAACTCACTCTGTAGACCAGGCTGGCCCCAAACTCACAGAGACCCGCCTGCCTCTGCTGGGATTAAAGGCGTGCCCATTACCACCACTGGAAGGCCATCCTGCCTTAAAAGAAACAAACAAACAGGGGCTGTAGAGTTGGCTCAGCAGCTCCCAGCACTTGCTGCCCTTTGGTTCCCAGCATTCACAAAGCAGCCCACAATCATTTTTAAGTCTAACTCTCAGGGACCTCATGCCCTAAGAGGTTCACATACATACATGCAGGCAAAACACTCATACACTTCAAATTTCAAAAAACTTTTAAAAAAGAGTAAATAAGACAAAGGGCCAAAACTGTTCATAAGAAAGATGGGCTGCTGCCTCAGGTATCAGGAGGAAGTAGTAATCGTCAGTCCCCATTTGCAAGGGAAGGAAATGAGGGAACAAATCTAGGAGAGGGTTGGGGTTGGTAGTGGCTTAGTTTAGGTGGGGGTCTACTGGGGTGTTGGTCCTAGTATGCCAATATAATCACCTCCAGGATTTTACAGGGCTCTGATGACCTCTTTGCTGCAACCTACCCCAAAAGTTCTGGCATGTCCAACTGAGGCTTCCCCAACCCACTAACATCAGTCTTTGGACTGGGCAGGACCTAGGAGCTTGAGCTTCCAAGACATGAGCACATCAGCACTGATATACTGCCCAAGATAGTAAGAGTCTAGCCTTGGCTAACAGACATTCACAGTTAAGAACAAAGGTTTTATTATGGGTGAGAATAAAGGTGAAAGCAGGACTTTTTGATAAGCAGGAAGGTGTGGACCACTTCTGAAGACCTAAGAACCAGCTACTTACGCAGACCCGTGGATCACAAACTGAAAGTGGGCCTTAGGTATCTTCTGCCATCACCAATGTTAGCTTCTCCATCATCATCACGTCACCACCACCATCACCTCTAGGATCGCCACCACCACCACCAGTATTGTCACGAACATCACTGCCATCGTAATCGCCATCATTACTGTGCCGCGATCATCGCTGTCATTACCACACATCATTATCATCATCGTGGTGTTAGTCAGCTCTCTGTCACTGCCACAAAATCTGAGTCAACTTTTTAGGGAGCTAAGGCTTATTTTGGTTCACAGTTTTAGAAGCTGGGACCGTGGCAAGGCAGAACATGGCAGAAGCGCATTGCAGAGGAAGTTGATCATTTCATGACATCCAGGAAGCAGAAAGAACAAGAAGGGGATGGGGTCTTACATGGCTTCAACG